ACCCCCGCGCCCCGCCGGCGCGCAGCCTGCGGCCGGAACGGCTGCGCCGGGGCCGTCGTCCCATCCCGGGTCCCCGTCTGCCCCGGTGACGCTCCGTGAGGACGCTCCCGACAGCGGGAATATGGCGAGAAGCCATATTTTCTTGTCCTGGAGTAGCTGCGGGCAGCAAAGCTGCAGCGAATCCCTCGCGGAGGCCGGAGAGAGTTGTCCGGGGTGGGACGCAAAGCGCCGCGGTGCCGGTGGGCACGGGGACGGGCGGATTCGTCACCCGAAACACCAATTTCTTCCCGGTTGAGGTCGAAGGAAGGGGTTTGGTGCCGGGGCTGCCTTAGCCGTGGGGTCACCGACCGTGGCTGCCGGAGCGTAATGCCCAAATACCGGAGCGGTGACGTGCGAGAGGCGTTTGGAAGAGCCGGCGCAGCAAAACCTCTTTTATTTTTATTTTTTTTTTCCCCCCCCTCTCAATCTCCCCTCGGCCTCTGCCCGCCGGCCGAACGCCGCTTTTCCGTCTGCTTTTGTTTTCCGCAGGGCGCCTCGGCGTTATTTGACATGATCGAGTATTACGAGTCGGCGACGCACCTCAACATCTCCTTTAACAAACACATCGGCACCCGAGGCTGGCAGGCAGCCGCCCACATGATGAGAAAGGTTTGTGCTCGCTCGTGAATATTTTTTCGGCGCCCGTTTTAACTCCTTACGGCTCCACGGGTCGTCTCGGGTCGGTCTTTCGAAAGACTTTTGTGCTCGCCTATCCTAAAAAACCACCCGGTTTGGAAAGACCTGCTTAGGCCCAGGCTCGAGGGCAAACCAAAAAACCACGCTTGCCGCGAGGTCGCTTAACGCCTCGGCGAGCAGCCGCGGCAGAGAAAATGGAAATGCGATCCCCCCGAAAAAATAAAGAGAGGCTGTTATTAGTGGCCTGCTTGCCGGGTCAGCCTCTCGGGCTGGGTAGTCATTATCTTTCCAGCGGGATGACGAGTGTTTGGCCTCGCAGGGCTAATTAACCTCATTGTTCAGCGCTTGAATTCCCTCCGAACAGCCGAGCGTAGAGGAGGCAACGTCTCCCGCTTCCCACTCGGGGCGCGGCGCAAAACCGCCCCTCGATCCGCAATTATCCCCT